TGACCCGGGAGGAGTGGTGCAAAATTCCAGGATATTTGCAGGGGTCCCTTCTTGTGGATCTGTGACTGATTCCCTCCTGAGCACTCCACCCCCCACCAGAATCCTGGCCGCCGGTTTACAGCCTGCAACCTGATCTGAAGTCTTCCTGCTCTGCCACTGTCCCTGCCCCTAAACTTCCCTAACGCCGCACTTTTATAATAGCCCTGTAACGTTATCTTCCCACATGGCTCCCGGCTTTGTCTTATGTCCTGAAGTGCCCGGCAGTGTCCTGGCCACTGAGCCTGGAGCCAAGAAAGGAGTACAGGGGACATGCTGCCAGGGGATAAGGGTTGACATGAAAATTGTTGGAGTCAGGAAATTCCAGGGCCCTTAAGTCATTCGGGAAGACAGTTGACATGAGAGGCCAAGGGAAGGGATCATGTTGCCTCCGCATAAGTAGGAATTGAGGTTCCCGTTAGGAACTGGTCTGGCAGGGAGGTGTCTGAGTCCTTCACTCTGTAGGCAAAGTCTGGATATTTCCGTCTGAATCTTTATAATAACCACATTGGAATGAACCTCCACTCACGGCCTAGTCACGCTGGTGTGTGCTTTCATCACTGTTCCTTAGGTGTCCCGGACAAAACCGAAGAATCCATTTAGTGTACCTATCAATTGGTTTGTAAAAATGGTACCTAAAGCCACGCCCCAAAATATTGACACATTGTTTCAAGGCGTCAGTCTGGCAAAGAAGCCCTTTATTCTTACACCTTGGCTCATGTGATGGTTTAAATATTAATCTCATGAGCCTCAGGTGTGACGACGAGATGGCGTTTGTGTTGTGGGGCAGTGTGTGTTGGTTCGTTCCATCTCTTCCCAGGCAGCCCCTGTTGCTGGGACCTCTTTTGTGCCCACGTGTCCTGGCTCCCTATGGGCGGGGGTGCCTGACCTTGCCCCCTGGCTGTAGCCTCCTGTGAGGACACCACACACGCCTCTCCAGGGATTAAAAAGCACATATTCATCGTTACTGTTTTACTTGAAGGACTTGCTAGCACAAATGGCTAAACTGTTAAGCAGGGGGAGCCGGGTCACTGGTTTAGGAAGTAGTGGCAGCTTTTCTCCCAGAAGAGGGACTGGGCCAGTTTTATGGAGGAAGCCTGGGTCTCGGAGGCTGTGGCCGCTAATTATAGAGAAGGAATACAACTGAGGATGAACTTCCACACGTTTGACAGTTGGTTTAAATGGCTTTTTATTCTCTTCTGTGTTCTATTTGTGTGTCATTCTTACTCAATAAAATGATTTTTGAGGGAAGGGAGTGTTTATGTGTTGCTTGGTGCCCAGCCCGTGCCTGACATATAATTTTGTTCAAATTGAACCATGGAAATGGTAATAGTTAATGATGCCCTGAATGTGAGGAGAGGAATGTTGAGAACAGGCAGTTCTGCTAAGTGTTTGGGACTCGGTTGTCAGAAGGCTGGGGAGGTGCGGGGCTTCCTGTTGTGGTTCAGGGTTGGCTGGGAGCACGTTCAGACAGACACTTGGTGCGCCAGGGTGAGTGTCGAGGAAAACCAGATATTCACCTCGGGCTGCTGGGAGTAAAATCGGAAGGTATAGGGTGGAGAGGATGTGCATCATAGTCACGGTCGCCAGTAAGGGCTGTATCTGCTGGCCACCAGGGTTCCCCACTTCTGCCCTAACGAAGATCAGCATATGGCTGGGGTGGGTGGTTTGTGAGGGCTGGAAGCCTGGAACAGGGCCTCTCCGGCTTTCGTCCACTCCCTACTCTCTCCACTTTAGGCTGGGGGAGGGGCTTGAGAAGGCTCATTGATATTCTTGGGGATTTTGTAGCCAGTTGCTTAATATAGCCATTTTGAAAACGATATAAATGTACAATTAATAAGTTATATATAATAAATACACATTATATACATATAATAAAGTACACACTTCCAGTTATAAGATAACTAAGTCACTGGGATGTGATATACAGCTCAGTGAATATAGTCAGTAATATCGCAGTAACTTTGTACGGTGACAGATGGCTTAACTAGACTTATTGTGGCGATCACATCATATGGTATGAATGGTATCACATCATATCATATGAATGTTGAATGACTATGTTGTACAACTGAAAAGAATATAACATTGTATGTCCGCTATACTTTAATAAAAACAACCAAAACAATAAAGACAATAATAACGCCAAACATGGTGCTAATTGTTTTGTCACACTTTACTGACATCTCTTATAGCATGTATGGTAAACATGCTATGTACTGGTACATATGTGCTGCTGCATATCTTTTTGCAACTCCACGTTCAGTGACTTCTCGTTGTTAGCTTGACGTCGGCCGTGGTGGGAGTAATGGTACCACATGCACGCACACGTTCTGCCCCTCTCCACACCAGAGCAGCTTGTCTCCTTACTGGGTTCCCTCGTCAGTCCTGTCGTGGACCACAGCCTCACATGACTCAGACCCCTTGAGGAGAAGCAGAACCTCTTTATTCAAAAGCTTCTTTCTCTGGGCTCACCGGCTTCTAGGGGCCGAAGCCCAAGAAATTGTTATGGCTTGAAGGATTCGCATTATCGCCATCTTATAGGCTGTTGATTATATGAGGGATTAAAAATAAGCAAATGTGCAGATGCTATCCATCGAACAGACCAAATGAGCTTTTATTAGTTAACAACACCTGTAAGAGTTAAAAGCTAGAACGAACTGTAGTGAGCCCAGCTCTCTACATGGTCCAGTGTACATATTAACAGGTCCGGTTTCCAATGGAATTTTCCACCTAGAAATGATAGTCTGATTTCAGTCCTCAGGAGACCATTGGCCTGGGAGATGCCTTCTGCAGGAAGTCATTCCTTTCTGCTGGTTCCGCAGGTAGCTCCCTTGGGTGTTTCCCCAAGCCATGGGTGCACCTCTGACACCATAGTACCATGATTTGACCAATTTCATTCCTGGGTTTAAGTGCTTTCTCGGATCAGATGATCCATCTGCAAGTGCCAGTCAGGAATGCTGAACTTCACCAGCATACCCTTAGAGGACCACTTTGTTATTAGAGAAATAAAACAAGTGAATCAAATAGGATTAACCCCTTCAAACAACTTAACTAGGCATTTTTTTTTGCAAATAATAAAGAACAAATTCCTTTCATTCTGTTGAGGATGACCAGAAACACAGACCTGCGGGGTCTCTAATTGAAAAAAAAGAAAAGAAAAAGAAAAAAAAAACCCCTCATCAAACTATATGCTTAAAATCTATGCAATTTAATGTAAGCTATATTTGAATAAAGTTGATTTTACAAGATAAAAAAGAATCAGCAGCCTCTTATAAATGTTGATTCTAGACAAGGTAACAGTCTTCGTTTCTCTTGCTGAGGATAATAAGCAAAGCTTTTCTATCAAAAGAGACTAATTCCTTGTTTGAAATCTCTCTGTGGAAGTGTTATCAAATGTTCATTTAGATGTTTTAAAGTAGCCACATATTTGCCTCAACTTTAGGTCCATTCTCCCGTCATTTTGAAATAACCTTAACTCAGCAAGTTGATGAGTAAGAGCCACCCTACAGCCCGAGAAATCAAGCATGAACTTGGATTTCCTCATCATGTCAATTTTAACCTTTGGTAAAATTGTTTTCCTTTATTTCTATGTATATCAATCATTCTAAATGTCATGTAATCCTTCTGTAACTACTTCATAATCTTCCCGACTCACCACCACAAAGGCCTGTGCCTTGCTCTTGTCACTGTCCAGTGGAGGCTGGGTAGCGCAGGGCTTTGTTCCGGGCAGTGATTCAGGAACCTGAGCTCCTCCATCCAGGGCCCTGGTGGTTTCTAGGCTTTGGAGTCCTCCGCTGGCTCCTCGGTGCCTGGCTTCAGGCAAGAGAAGAGGAGTGGAAGGTTGCGCAGGGGGGATACGGCCAGGCCTGTCCGGGGCCTTGTTCCCTTTCGCCCACATTCCATTGGTTGGTACTCAGTTACATGGCCAAAGCCCAGTTATAAGGCTGGGATGTGAGGTCTGTGAGTCCAGCAGGGACAGGGAAGGGGGTTGACAAACACATGGTGTCACCTTGGCTACACCAGAACAGTCAGTTGCCATAAGCTGTATATTGTAAGACTGATATTTTTAAGTCCTTTGTAGGTGTCAGGCTACAGAGAGGCTCAGAACTTAGTGGCTAAGACCATGATCTTGAGCCAGGCGCCTGGTATCCAAATCCCTGCTCCATCATTTACCAGATGGGACATCAGGCAATGAACTCGGTTTCTCTCTGTGCCTCAGTTTTTCACCTGTGCAGTGGGGATGACAATAGAACTTAATATGGTTCACGTGAGGATCAAATGGAGTAACATATGCAAAATGCTTAGAAGTATGAATGGAATATAATTAATAACACCATTTATAGAAATACTTATATAAATAAGTATTTTTAAAATACGTTTTTAAAAACTGAGATTAGTAACAAAAGAGACTGCATGTCCTTTGTGGTATGTTGTAATTTGGATAGGTCGTCATCCAAACGGAGAATGTTTCAGTTCAGCTGTACAAATGTTTATTGAGCAACTATTAATTGTGTCAGGTATGAATGAATCTGTGTGAGTAGGCTCCTCACCGAATCAAAGGGAACAATGTGTTTTCCCCACCAAGTTTGCATTTAAACTCTGTGACTCTGAATCCGTGTTCACATCAACAGTGTGATCTTGGTTTCCACTCTCCAAATCCACAATTCTCCGGGGCCCCTCAGAGTGGAAAGCGGCAGCGGCCCGGTGCCCAAAGGGCTCCTTCTCTCCCCACCCCCCCAGCCCTACTTCTGTTGGGCCCTGTCATTGCCACTCCCTTCATAGGTGTCATAGCTGTCCACTCGCAATCTATTCACACAAACACACTATCTCTTCTGATTATGTTGGGAATTTTGGAATAATGCTTGATTTAAAAAACCACATGAGGGCAACATGAAGTAGTTCCTCCATGCAGAGCCCCCTTCCCAGGAGCAGGCTGGCTTAACAGGCTCTTTCTCTCACAGCTCGACGACTGCACGCTGCAGCTCTCCCACAATGGCACCTACCTGGACCTCGAGGCCACCCTGGCCGAGCAACGGGATGAGTTAGAAGGCTTCCAGGATGACGCTGGGTAAGAGCCACAACTGTACCGGCCGACTGGTCCTGACCGTCCAAGAAATGGGGGCACATTGGGTCCTGAAAATATTTTGCAGACACCACCATACCTTTGGCCTTGTCTTCACTCACGGTCACACAGAAAGAGGGGAGATGCAAGCAACACCCGTAGTCGCTGCAAACCCTTTTTGCATTTTGAGTAACTATTTTTTAAAAAATTCAATTACAGTTGCCATTCAATATTACATTAGTTTCAGGTGCACAGCACAGTGGTTAGATATTTATGTAGCTTATGAGGTGATCCCTCGTGAGTCTAGTACCCACTGGACACTGTATATTTGAATAACTCTTCTTGACAAGGCTACTTGTAGGAACATTTCTGGTATAGTTTAATTAAGCATATGGTATTTGCATCCTGTGTCCTTTTTTTAAAAAAGCCAAATATTATTAAATTAATATTTTCAAGATTTTGGTGGATTGACAACTGTTTCAAACATTGTTTTTAATGATAACTTCCTGGATGTTTAGTTTTCCTGGTAGATGCCCTAGTAGATCACTTTATATTATATCATCTTTTGAACTCATTGCAGTAGAAAACCATGATTAATTATGTTAATTAATATCAAGTCACTTTTAGCCTACATTTAGAATTGCTTAATACTTCTGATTGCTGAGTCTGAATAAAATAACATACATACAAAATCAAAGATGTGTACAGAAAGTAAAATCTCTGTAGGAATATGCCCATACAACCAGCCATTCCTATGTTTATTTATGATGCCCCCTGCCTCCTTCCTCATCCTTCATCATTCTAGAGCCAAGTATATCTCTGATTTTATCACCTTCCTCCTTAGAAAATTTCAGGGGCTCCCTGTTGCTTTCCAAATTATGTTCAGCTATCTTAATCGGATGGTGAGGGCCCGGGACCAAAGTGTCTTTGGCATTATTTTGCTTGAGTTAAAAATGTTACATTCAGATGAATGTTATCTGAGATGACTGATTTTTAATGGATGGCTCCAAAAAAAAAAAAAAGGAGGGGAGAGCTTTGTTAGTGTTAGTTTCCTACCTGACTCCACTGTGGACTGATGAATTCCTGGGTTTCCCCTGCTTTATCACCCATCATAATTTATGGTCCATTTTCCCTTAATTGTCCCTCTTTGCTGCTAAAACTCTACTAGATCAGAAATAGACCTGGCTGAATATCTGGTGCCTAGCATTTTCTCAACACCTTATAGGCACTTAGTGAAAATTGGTGGCCAGGTAAATGAGAAGATCCAGAATGGATTCCTGAATGTCATGACCATGAGCTCTAAGAAAACCAGGGTCCTTGGTAGGAACCAGCAAGTCTCTGTGAGGATGTCCTTCCTGTCTCCAGAGTCATTCCAAGGACCATACCAACAGTGTAGGGAAAACGATCTGGAAACTATCATTGGCTGTACGCACATGAGGAATTCCATTACTAAGTCACATCAGATCCTACTCATCATCACTTTTAAAATTACTATTATTAGGCCAGTAGACTTGAGGAAATTCTATTACTGTAGTTTTTACCAAGCATTTGACCATGATATTCTTATATATTATATAAGATTCCATAATTCAGGCTGGATGACCGTCTAATTGGGTGACTTTATGGCTCCTTGGTCCAGGAGTGTTATGAGTAAATCATTGTCAACTTGAAAAATATCTTTCGTGGTGTCATAACACCACTAGACCATATCCTGTTTGATTTTTTCTCTTATCAAAAATTGAATGATTTAGAGAGAGAAGCTTAGAAAAAACAAGGGTTACTATATTAGACAACAATATCAAGAATTAAGAGTCGGGAAGAAAATAACCTTTATGGAGCACCTGCCATGCCAACCACCATGCTAGGCACCTAATTCAAGGTATGTTTGTTTAATAGTTTATTCTCTTAACAGTCATGTGGTTGGATTTTATCATCTCCATTTTTCATTGGAAACAACTGAGGGTAAGAAGTTAAATTACACAGATAGGTCTGCAGAACCAGTCGATGGTAGAGCCAATCCTAAACACAGGTATGACCAATTCCCGAGTCTGTTCATTGTGTTTCACTTTATCATGCTTCATGGATGTTGCCTTTTTTACAAATCGAAGGCAAGACCCTCCACCAGAAAAAGGTTGCAACTTACTTTATTGTGAGACATTATTGAGGGACTCGCTTTATTGCCTTGGTCTGGAACCAAACCTACCATATCTCGCAGGTATGTGCGTACTCCTCTGCCATTCCAGGAGGGTCAGGGCAAGGGCACGGTAGGTTCTACTCGGGATGTACATTTGCACCTTTGATGCCATAAGGTTGGTTCCTGCCAAGGACATCTTCAGTCCCAGGCTAAAACACTGCCTGTAGTTGAAACAGCACCCAGCCATTCTGCCGGTTGGCTCCAGGGAAGAAACGTTTGCTCTCGTCCTCTGGCCCCGACACTACAGCTCACGCGGTCAACACCAGCCTCCAGGTGCTGAACTTTCTTTCCTGCCATTCCTAAGGAGCCAGGGACCCTGCTGCAAGGTCACCAGAGTAGATCCTGGGCCTACTTTCTTACTTTGTTCCCTTCCGAATCATCATCACCCGGCCCTGGGCCCCTGGTCCTCGGCCACGTTTTGGCACCCTAACAGCATGTGATTCTGGGGAAATGAATGACAGCGAGAAGGCAGGACTCACAGCGTGGGCAACTGCAAACGGGGGCAGGTAGCCCGAAAGCTGTTGGGTTGGGTAGCTGCACATTTGACAGGTGTCCCCCAAACTTACCCCAGATGTGGGGTTTATGTTTTTGAAAGTCTTTGTTTGTGGTAACCCACCCCTTGTCCCCTGGAATGCACTGTCCAGAAGACACTGGACAGAAGAGCGTGAAGAAGCCACCTTTACTGATATCTAGTGGGCAGGCCCCTCTGTCCCTGGCCTGGATTGCAGAAGACCTGCCAGGATCGTACTGTCCTGGCATTGCCAGGTCACCACGGCTATGCCCTGGTTATTTACTGCTGCCGAGCGCTGGCACAGCTGGCTGGAAGGAGCCTGCAGGCTGAGCCCTCTGCAGAGGTGGCGGGTGTCTGGGCACTTTTGCAGCGTCACTGCACTGAGCATCCCTCCTAGGTTCTCTCCTGGAACTGTGGCATTTGGCAAAGTCTGAGAGCCTGAGAACTCATGTCTCCCACAAATGGGAGTTAAAATGTAATTTCTTCCTGGTTAACAATTGTCCTTTTTAGGCACGAGGAGGTCAAGTGAAATACCATTCTTCTCTTGATTTCTTTGTGTAAATTATAGCAAAATATCTTCTAATGTGTGACCACTCGTGGAAGCTATGTGGCAGGCTATGTGAAAAGGATAATGTTTTTAGTACAGTATGTTCCGAGTGAATTTTCCTCGCTGGAGGAGTTTGTTTCTTTGTTCTTGTTCATTACCCTGCTCTTTTATGCCAGGACTAAAAATTAACTCACCCCTTGTTTAGAATTATCACTCAAGCTATAGCTGTTTGGAGAAGAGAGCAAAGACCTTCAAAAGCGGAAGGACAAAGCAATTATGCTAGAAGAAGGGAGCCAGGTCTGTGCGCTGCCTTCCAAGGCCGGGAAATTAGCAGTGGAAACAGAAGCCCCGAAGCTTCTGGATTATTATGCCTGACCTTGCCATGGTGTGACCTTGGGCAAGCCGCTTTATGTCTGATAAGAGTTAATCAAATTTATTTACAAAATGAGGACAATATTACCCGACCCTGTTTCCCTCCTTGTGTCAGCAGGATTCCAACAGGGCCTCTGGCATCTGAGGAGAGCGTAGTGCAGGGCAGCATGCTTCGTGGTTAGGGGCACGGGCTTTGTGGTTAGTCTGGTGGCTGTGAGACCATGGGTGTGTTACATCATCTCTCGGCGCCTCCATTTCCTTTAAGTGGAGATAATATAATCACAATACTGCCTCCTTGGGTTGTTGTGAGGTAAAATGCGATGATGTATCTAGAACAGTAAGCTCGTTTCCTGCATATGATACGTACTCAAAACGAGTAGCCCTTACTATAATTATAGTCAGAATTTGAGAAGATGGTACTTTGAAATGGAAATCATTGGATTTTAGACCTGGAAGGGCCTATGCATTTTTTTCCCCCCATTTTCTTCTCCTTTCCTCTCCTCTCCTTCCTTTCCTTCCTTCTCACCTGCCTGCCTTCCTAAAAAAAAACAAAACAATAACCTGGAGCCTTGCTCTCAGGGCAGAGCTGGGCCAGAGCCCCCCACCCTTTTTGCCTATTCCCACCCTACTCCCTCTGAAAGGGAGCTCGTGCCAGCTGAGGCCCCCAGGGTACTGTCCCTAGAAGGTGGAGTGGAGGGGGCAGTAGGTGGGAGCATTGCAGAGCTAAGAGTGGGCCAAAGAAACTCAGTGCTTTAGGGACAACGTAAGGACCAGTGTGGTTTCTGGATGTGGCGTAAGCAACAGGTGCTCCTCACTTTGAATAACTCAGAACATTCCCCTTTTCCTAGGCTTGCCCCCTGAAGGCAGCTGCTGCTTATCTCTCAGTTTGCCTGTCTTTCAGGGAGGCTGGTAAATACTTACGCCAGCCCCCTCTTGTCCCCAGGGGTTGTGTGGCAGCGGGGAGAGCTTGGCAGTATGAGGCTTGAGGCTGAGAAATGAAGAAGTTGGGGTAGTAGGGGCGGGTGGCCTTGATCCTGCCAGCTTTGCAGTGGACATGCTTAGAGGGGTGAAGGGGATTGGGAGATCTCTGGTTAGACTCTTAGACACCTAACTGCCCCAAGGATCAGTGTGTGCAGGGAGTCCACGAACCCTTGAGGTTTCTGCACAGTTGGTGGGTGTGCAGGGCTTTTGGATGGGGAAAAGTTTCATCAGGCTTTATCAGATTCCCAAAGAGTTCTTTGCATCCCAAAATGTCAAGTTTGAGGGAATAAGAAACAGTTTTCCCTTCTCATTGTCTGATACAAAGTTAACCTCATCCAGTCATATCTGCATCTAAATATGGTAGAATGGAAAATCACCTAAAATACATTTGGAACCTAAAT